GCACACAAAGCCTCCCGCAGAACAAGTCAAGCCAGTAGAGGCAGAAGGGCTTCTCCTCAGGCAACGATATCAACCCTGAAGAATGTGATCGGCAAATAAGCTTCAGATTGATCACCTCACGTTTTGGAGGCTATGTCGGAGGGACTACAAACGGCAGGCCGGGATCTGCAGGATAGCTGGGCTGTTGGCTTTCCCACCCCGCCCTCTCTTCAGACCCAGTTAATTCACAGACCTAAAAATAACATCAGCTGAACGCTAGAGGAGGAAGGAGGGAGCTGCCCAGACCAGTTCGTTCTGGGTGCGCTCGCAGGCCAGCGATGGTTTCTCCTTCTCACATGACTTCGATGAGACAGACTACAGCAGCCTGGGGTTTTGGAGAAATGGATGACGTAACGAGCATCCCCGTAAGTCCGCGAGCCAGAGCAGTTGCTGAGGCATTAAACGATAACCTTAAACAAAGTTTACCAAGTGACTGTGCCTGCAGTCCTTCAACTTCCAGTGTTTGCAAAGGGTAGAAAGGAATAAAGAACAGCTTGAAATGGGGCTGAGAAAATGGGTGACTGGATAAACATGTCCTGGGACTTCCCAGCAGAAGCTTTAGAGGTGTATTGTGCTAAGAGAGTGAAGCGTCCTGCGGTGGATTTCTACTTTATCGGGCTCTAAGAGAGACCACGAGCAGAACATCATGAGAGAGATGTGCCCTGTCACTAGAGCAAAGCTTAGAGCAGGAGGGCTGCCTGCTGCAAGCTGTGAGCCATGACTTCCACCTACAGGATCTGAGGACCACACGGGATTTTTCACAGCGTTACTGAATAACATTAAGCAAACATTAACGTGAAGTCTGTGAGATGAATGCGTCCAAAATGCCTCTTTGGACCTCAGTCTGGAAAGGGCCTACATGCCTACAGTTCTAGCCCTCCTACATGCCTTTGGGGGAAAAAAAATCTCATTCCTCGTAGACCCAACCCAGCTGCCTTCCAGGGCTGCCGTAGCTATAAATCCTCCTCGATACCTTCTTAAACACCTAGTGAATTAAAGCCCACTCGATATGGTTCAAAGCTGACCAGATCTCCTAACATGGCACAGAACATGAGTTGTTGTCCAGCTCCACCTACTCTTGCTGCCTTCCCCCTTCATGTTCCATCGTTACATCTAAAACGTTGCGTAAAACCAGTCTGGTATCGCGCGATTAACTCAAACCGCGAGTCGAAGCCACGGCGAGCTGCGCACACACCTCTTCACTGCATCCACCTGGTCCTGAGTGTAGCCCTTGGGGGCCTCCCCACCAGCCTCCCCGTTGGCCGACGGGAAGTCTCCACTCGTTTTCTTGAACTGGGGATTTGTGGACTCCCTGGAGTGGGACTGGCCATTGGCGGATTGCTCGTTCTTGTTGAGTGATTCAAGCAGAACTGAAATGAGAAGAAGACGAAAAGAAAAAATAAACAAAATACAGAAATTAAAAGACTGCCAAGCGTGATCTGCCCTTCCCACTCTGCCATAAAGAGACCCCTCTTCATCTCTGCCACCGCTGGAGGACCCCCCATCCTTCATCAGAAAGACCCTCACCATTTCACCCAACCCTTGAGCTCCTGCTGCTTCTGGCCCAGGCGTGTGGGGCTGCTGCTGTAGATATTGCCTGCCTCTCCCAACACACGCAACCTCCACCAAAATCCCAGGCCTACCCAGCCAGCCAGTCCAGAAACCAAAGCGGCGCATCCTTGTCCTCTCCTTTTTTTCCCCCCACGTCTCTCCTTAACAGCGAAGCATTTCCATGTTTGTCCTCTAGCATATTATACAGCATATTCTCCTTCTTTATCTCCTGCCTCTGAGAGTCTACTGCGGGGGGTAAATTATGTGACGATGGCTCTATCTTCAGAGGGCTTAGGAAGTAACACCGTGGGATGCCAGCCCCATGGGGACACTCCCCTTTCGGGGACAGAGAGTGGCAGCACCCACGGCTGGCAGCACGGTAGGGCCCGTAACACACGAGCCAGAAGGGTGCTTTGTTCTCCTGCGCGGCCTTGCCTACGTATTCGACGTGTGCAGCAGCAGCAGCAGCTGTGAAAACCACCTTCTCTCTCGATTACCGAATACGAGTTGCACAAATTCAGTTCCCCTTTTCTCAAGCGGGGTGCGCATGTGCAGCGGGTGAACTGCTGGGGAGTATCCCCTCCTCCTCGCCAGGCTCAGGCACCGGCCTCCGTCCCTTTCAGCCAAGAGGGGACAAACGTTCAGGCCTGGCCTAACCGCACAGGTGACAACACTGGGAAACCAAGGGAGACTCCTCCGAGCCCTGAAGCAGCTTTCCATCACGTTTCCCTGGCAGCTGGAAAGCACCATCTTTTTAAACTATTTCTGTCTCTTTTTTAACCGATCTCTTCATGCCTGTAGTTCCTGAATTTTATACATCGCATCCCCGTTAAAGAGAACGGGCGCACGTAACACGACTCAAACCAGACGACGTTATTTACGAAGGCATCAGCAACTTGACGAGCTTGCAGTCCTTTATCCAGAGCCTAGAACCGAGAGGGACGCCTCACCTCCTCCTGCGGATTGCACACTACAGACCTTGCACTACGGGGGTATCACGTTCTTTATGCAAGCGCAAACACCGCTTGCAGGCCAAGAGGCGAGCCAAGATATCCTATCTGCCCCGCAGAGCTTGTAGGGGCAAGAAAAAACCGCTCGGTAATCCAACAGCCAACACAGGCAATCGTTACGGACGAAGGATAAAAATGACAGCGGGCTAACGAGCAGCAACTCACTGGATGATGACCTTTTGAGCTTGGGGCTTCACGGATTTCGGCTTTCAGAAAAATAAAATCCTTCCCTCATTCATATTTACACTACTAGAGCGTTCACAAAATTCCAGTCTCTGCTTTTGCTCCTTCCAAACCTGGAGCAAACCACCAGGCACTTTTAAACCTCGTCTCGCGAGGCTCTCCCTCCACCCGCCCTGCTCTTGCTGGTTTGGGCTCAGTTCCCCACAGCATGCCAGGAGATTTTTGGCAGCGTAGCTCCCAAAGCCAACCACAGAAGTCCACGTACGGCCACAGCTCAGCCCTGTTTGGCTCTGCAGCCCCAACCCTATTGCTTCTGCATCCCAAAGCCACGCTGGTCCTCCCTGTAGTCACAGCGCAGCACAAATTCACAGACTACTGAAGCAGAGACTGCTGAATCAAATTTTCAGTTGTGCCACCAAGCACGTGCTATGGGTCACTCTTCCTGACTTATTAGCCAACATTTGCTCAACTTCTGTTAATTTTTCCAAAACTCACACTCAAAGGCAGCCAGTGGGACTTTGTCTATACCAGCGTGCCTGGCTGCGTTTACGTAGATTTTTGCTGAAATCCCCTTGCAAAACCCTTCGCTGATCCTGTGACGACGCCTGCAGGACCCAGCACAGGGTGAGAGTTTGAGGTGCCGGCTGCGCAAGGTCCACGTCACTGATGGTTGCCAAACCCAACGTAACTCATGGGAAAGAGATTGCCCAGGGGCACATGAACTACGGAAAGGCTCAGTGGCCACCGTGTACCTGCGGGATCTTTGGCAACATCTCCCAACGACAGGCCCACAGCGCATGGGCGAGCAACCAGCAGGCCGTCAAAGCGAAGGGTCCTTGGATGGCAGCTCAAGACGTGGAACTTGCAGCAGCAGCTTGGTTGGGTCTGGCCCCCAATTAGCACGCTGTATTTAACATTAACCTGCCCTGCTTTCCTCCCCTGTGCTCCAGTTCTCTACCAGCACGTAGCCCACTTTTTATTCTGGCTGTCCCAAGCCATAGGATTAGGGCAAAATATGGCCGGTTTATGTTGCAAACCGGTGCTTGCTGTCATCCAGATCTGCTTTTCTGGTGCATGCCCTAGCAGAGCTCCTGAGGAAGAGTAGTCCTTGCCAGGGTGGGCCTTTCCGTGTGCCACGCCACGCTTTTTCCTCCAAAAGCCACCTTTCCTACCCAGTTATTTCACAAAAGCGTAAACTCTGAACGGGAAGGAAAACCGCACCGCATGCACGACGGGCTGATACGCTGCGTTTGAGGGAACGGGAAGAGGCCTCATGCAACCAAAGCGAGGATTCCAGGAAGCCTGGGGCTCTCCGCAGGACAGACAGGCTGCAAAACACAGCCGAGGAATCAAAACTCAGATAAGGGCTGTCAAAGTGAAATAGGGGGGGGGAAAAAAACCCCAACCAAAACCAAACCCAAGGAACCTACAGTGCTTTGCATGAAATTTCTGCAACGTAGGAACACATGGAGAAAGAATTGTGGCGGGCTGCTTCTACAAACCACTTCCCTCGTCGCTGTGGCGATGCACTAATTACGCACGCCGTAAAGCTTTCGGGAAATGAGCTCGCTCCTCAGAGCCCATACGACCGGCAAGAAGCTCTTTGAGAGGGAAGACGGCTCTGTACGCGTGCCAAAGCCAACTGCGGTGGCGGTGCTGTGGTCATCAACGGCGGGGGGGGACACGACGATGGACGCGAAAATGAGAAGCAAGGCTCGCTGAGGGGAACAGCCGAGGGAAAGCAGCAGCCTCGAGTGTGTGAGCTCAGGGAAGGTCTTGCCTGAGGAGAGGAGAAGGAGGAGAGAAGGAGGAGAGGAGAGGAGGAGGAGGAAGAGAGAAGGCAGAGGAGAGGAGGAAGAGAGAAGGCAGAGGAGAGGAGGAAGAGAGAAGGCAGAGGAGAGGAGGAAGAGAGAAGGCAGAGGAGAGGAGGAAGAGAGAAGGCAGAGGAGAGGAGGAAGAGAGAAGGCAGAGGAGAGGAGGAGGAGGAAGAGAGAAGGCAGAGGAGAGGAGGAGGAGGAAGAGAGAAGGCAGAGGAGAGGAGGAGGAGGAAGAGAGAAGGCAGAGGAGAGGAGGAGGAGGAAGAGAGAAGGCAGAGGAGAGGAGGAAGAGAGAAGGCAGAGGAGAGGAGGAAGAGAGAAGGCAGAGGAGAGGAGGAAGAGAGAAGGCAGAGGAGAGGAGGAAGAGAGAAGGCAGAGGAGAGGAGGAAGAGAGAAGGCAGAGGAGGCAGAGGAGAGGAGGAGGAGGAAGAGAGAAGGCAGAGGAGAGGAGGAGGAGGAAGAGAGAAGGCAGAGGAGAGGAGGAGGAGGAAGAGAGAAGGCAGAGGAGAGGAGGAAGAGAGAAGGCAGAGGAGAGGAGGAAGAGAGAAGGCAGAGGAGAGGAGGAAGAGAGAAGGCAGAGGAGAGGAGGAAGAGAGAAGGCAGAGGAGAGGAGGAAGAGAGAAGGCAGAGGAGGCAGAGGAGAGGAGGAGGAGGAAGAGAGAAGGCAGAGGAGAGGAGGAGGAGGAAGAGAGAAGGCAGAGGAGAGGAGGAGGAGGAAGAGAGAAGGCAGAGGAGAGGAGGAAGAGAGAAGGCAGAGGAGAGGAGGAAGAGAGAAGGCAGAGGAGAGGAGGAGGAGGAGGAAGAAGAGAGGAGGAGGAGGAAGGCGGCTTTCTGCAGCCCCACGAGAACTTCTCGCCCAGGCCCCTCTCTCCGCCCCGCGCAGGGGGATTGAGGGGGGCGCTCAACCCGCCGGGCTCCGCTCCTCCTG